GTACCTGTTCAAAATGAGAACCTGGCAACACAAAACAGACTCCTGGACTTAAACAGCTACATTACTCCTCTGGAGAGGGATCATGAACTGTGACTTTTTCAAGTGCAGCAACATAGATTGGAAAGCTCTAAGCAGTGGTTCAAAGCAGAGAAGCACACACTGCCACTAGGCTGTATGCACACTGCAGGGGTGGAAGAGAGGTTGTGCTGTTGCTGACCAAGAAATAAGGGTGTAGATGTCACAGCCCAACAAGAAGGCTGCCACATGAATGTGGATAGGAGAAGACCTATGTTCCAGTCTGGTATCCCATAATTGCTGATGCATTTTTGCAATAAATGGTCACAAAATAACATACAGAATACAAGACCAAAGGCTAACATCCAAATCTTATGCCTCGCTGTCCTGTGTGCACCTCCAGCACTGGTCTAAATCATCTCCTCTGCTATGACCCAATGTGACTGTTTCAGCTGGAAAGCTGAAATGAGATATGTCTCTCACTCCAGCCTCCAATTGGCAGATCTTTCCAAGCCACATGTTGGAGTCTCTCTAGCTAAGAAGTGGTTAGAAATTACCGAAGAAAACAAAAACACTGATGGAAGCATGTGCTATTTTTGAGTCAGAGGGTTTGTTACTTCTTTGCTCCATAGGCAAGTTAAGTGTGCTGAAACACCATCTATTAGATCACGTTCCCTGGAAACTTGGAGACATCTAGTCTGAGATTGAAGTGGGTGTAGGACTAAGACAAAGCTGAATAAATGAATACCTGCCAAAAGAGTTGCACTTTTGGGCACACCCTGGAACAGCATGACAGGTACCTACACTGAAAGCTGCTTCAAAGCTGTCCTTCCGGCGATCCTGAACTCACTTTAACATTCCGGGCAGAGTTGGCATAGCATATCTATGAGCTCACCATATCTCCAGTCTCTGAGGAAACACATGGCACCATTCAATATCCATGGAGTTGCTAGGCACTGAAGGCATTCCACCCAGGTGCATCACGTTGCTGAAATTCAGAGGATCACTTTGATGGTTGGTTACAAGCTGCAAGTAACTTCTGTCCTGCAGCAATTAACCTTGATACCACCCCCCAGACTGCCCTAAGCTCCTTCAAGTCTTAATCCCCTTGAGAATTACTAAGGGGTAAGACCAGCCATTGTCATTTTATGTCAGCAAGGCTCCACTTCTTAGTAAAAAATATTACCCTGTAGGAAGATCCACAGTCTGAATAGCATGAGCCCACTACAGAAGAGCCATAGGAGAGTGGAAGTTTATATAAACTTTCAGGGGGAGACCTGCAACAAATGTATGTGTGCACTTTCCAAAGCCTGTACATAGCAAGAAAGGTGTTAGACCAAACTTCATTAAACACTACCAAAGAACTCTATGGTATAATCAGCATTTTTTTTGCTCAGGAATCTCAAAGACACCACAGGTCAAAGCTGCAGGGGATCCAACAGAACTGTGTGGGATCACCTGCATGCATACATCATCTAGTGGGTACTGTCAGTCTCTCACTTTCCTATGCAATAAACACTGTGGGGAAAAGAAATAATTTCTCTCTCTTCCTCTTTACCTCTGCTGCACAAGAGCAAAATGAAAAAAAAAAATTTGAGAACAGTGTTGCAGAGATCAAAAGCCTTTTTCTACTGGCTCTGACCTAGTTCTTTCATTCTTACTAGAGGGAAAAAAACCACTTAAAGGAACATTGTCAAAACTGTTAGCTCTAAAAATAGACTTACCTTGGCAGTGCTCCCATCTAGATGGGCTCATATTAAGGAGTGCAAACTCACTTTCCCCATACGCACACCAATCCTTTCATCAATCTGGAAGCACTGGCACTATGCAGCCCAAAGGACCTCCCAGTCCACACAATCTTCTGGGGCACTCAATACATATTATATATAACTGGCAAGGAACTGTAATACCCTCCAAATTCCTATTTCATATTTGCTAGTCCATCTCTGTCAGCTAACCCAGTAAAAAATTTTGGATATTTTCCTTAAGTAAACTGATGAAGATTTGTTTACATAACTAGACCCCAGCACTCCATACTAAGACAGGATAAAAATAATTTGAGTAAGATTTCAACAATTTTTTAGATAAAATGAACAAATTTTTCAAAGATTTTCCACAAAGCATAAGCTACAAAACATTTTCACCTTAGCCACATAGAGCATTTGTGAAAGGAGAAACAAAAGAAACTCTCTGGGTTTGTGGCTGAAGCTGACAAACAGGCAGTTTCCATAGAACAATAGCCGTGGTGGAGCTGGTGGGGCAGCGGATGTTGGCTTCAGCCAGGAACTCCCATGCTCCAGAATCCACGGCTCCCTTGTGCCCCAGGGACCTTTCCACTCCCTGCCAGTTGCATCACAAAGCCAGCCACTTGCAAGTTTGCACAAGGAGCCAGTTGGCCCAACCATTCAACACTCCATTAAAAATTCCGAAAACCCTGGAAGCCCATCCTAGCCAAGCTCCCAGCTGAGTACTACAGAAACTGGGAGGACAGACAACCTCAGCTTAAACCAGGTTTTCAGGGCTTTCCTTATTTGCAAATGTCCAGAGCTGATGTACAGGTTATGCTCTTGAGATCCCAAGCTGCAAACCAAGAAAACATTTTTTCCAATTAAAACAAACAAATTAACAGAAGAATAAAAAAAAACAACTGTCTGTGCTTCCTGAGTTCGAGACATTTTGAGTTCAGCAAACTGCCATTTTTCTGCAAAACTATTTATTTAGAAGAAGACCTAATGGCAACTTTACTTCTGACTGAAGTAGGATCTGTACACTGTGGTGATGAGAGCCATGAGGAACAAGTAACCTCTCAGCTTCCCAAATACAAGCCGTAATGCCACATGTTCCCTGCCAAAAGTCACAGTTCAGGAACAGAACACAGCTCACTCCCAGGGCTCCAATACAGCAGAAGATGCATTAAGATAAAAGCAGGCTTTTAAGCACAGTCACACAAAGAAACATAGTTCCAACAGAAAACGATGGATAATAAAAGGCCTGAAATGGGCATGCACTATATTGATACAAAGTAGTCACAGCCACATGGCAGCTTGTGCTGAAATAGTCATATTCCCGGGTAAGCGTAAGGGCAACAGAATTATGCAAAGGCCAGATAGTTCAGAGAGAAAAAAAAACAAAATGGGAGGAATGCAGAACATACAGACAAGAAAGCCTGTTCTGAGACACCACAGCAGGATGCATCCTGAGGGAAGGAAATGGGACGAAGGAGTTAAAGAAAAAAATCCCATCTCAGGAGAAGGGAAAAAGCACTGCTTCCCAAAGCTTTAGCAGAGCTTTTCTTCATTAATATTTACAAAGCTTTTAGAGATTCTCAGATGGAGGGCACTGCAGATATGACAGGAATTATTACAGACCTGAAAAGATCTAGCAAACAGACTGAGAAGGACTTCAAGTAAATAAAGGAGGATGACATTAGTGAGCACACTGAAATAGGGGTTGCTGCTGGCATATGAACCATCTGGTGCATGGCAGTCCATTTCATTTACTTACTTACCCACTACTGGGCACGCATGCCCAGTTCTTGTCACTATGCTTTTGCCACCAAAGAAGTAATGCTTTTACTCAGGACCCCTCACTACCTTCCTCCTTTGCATCATTCCAGTCTTCAACTGCCATTCAGTAAAGCAGCCTGTGCATAAGAAATCCGTTTGCCTCATGGAGAAGCTCAGTATCAACAACTTCAGAGGTACACAGACACGTTTTGAGACATAGTGGTCTTGCTCACCTTTATTTGAATTTGCATAGGAAGCTGGTTTTCAGGGATGTTAAGCTCCACACTGTGTTCAGGAAGCCCAAGTTTTTGCTGGACTATCATTTGCACTGTTCACTTGGGTACCCAGCAAAAGACAGCTTCAGCACAATTTTCAGCAATAAAGCAAGTGCTTCTGATGGAACTGTAATCTCATCATAACTGAGAAACAAAGCTCATGGTAGTCTCAAAATGAACACCCCAAAAATACTGACACACCCCAAATTAAGCACAGGAGAAGAGGTGATATGGCTAGTTTACGCACTGTGGATTTCTTAAACTTTCCCAAGGGCACCAAATAAAGCAAAAGGAGGCACAAAACCCAGGAGTGTCAATACCTTGCTCTAAAGCACTAGAAAACTGAGTGAATTTTGGAAGTGGACAGCAGCAAAAGCGGATCTACTTTTTCCCACACACCTAGATACCTCTCTCCTCCAACTTCCCAAAAGCCCCATGGAAAGGGAACACATAGCCAATGTCAGACGGCTGCAGGAGCCCAGCATCAACTGGAAGACCTCCCCAAACCATCCACCTTTCCACGTCTTGGTAGGCATCATCTCAGTTATCGGGTACTTTCCCAGGAGCCGGGCACACCTCGCGAACACCTCACAGCTCCCGCCTGCCCAGGAGCTGAACACCTCGGCCCTCGGGCACAGCTCTGCGCCCACGCGGGAGCGATCGGGGACTGCGGGAGCTTCGTGGGCACCGCGGCCTCGGGGCACTTCGGGGACCGGGGCGGCAGCGAGCGACGGCGGCGCCCGCGGGAACCGGCCGGCGCGGGGCGGGGGAAGGGCGCCCGGGGCTGAGCGCGGACCGCCGGGGCCGCTCCGGAGGGAGGCGGTGCAGGTCGGCCGCCCGTGCCGGGAGAGGCGGCACCTCCGGGCCCGCCGGGAAGTTGCCGACAGAAGCCTCCGGGCGGCCCCCCGCCGCTCCTCCGCCGCAGGCCGGGGGCGGCAGCCGCGGCCCGGCCCCGCGGCACCTGGCCGGGGCAGGCGCGGCGCTGGGGGCGGCGGGCCGAGGGGCGCGGGGGGCGCCCGCTGGCGAGGCCAGGGCGGCAGAGCGGCCCGCCGGCGGGCACTGCCCTCCCTCCCGTCCCGGCCGAGAAGAGCCGAGCCGGGCCGGGCCGGGCCGGGGCGGCCCCGCCGCGGCGCAGGTGAGTGCCCGGGGGAGGAAGACAGGGGAGGGACCCCCGGGGCGGTGGGCAGGGGACACGGAGCCTTACCTTCCACCGCCATCCTCCCGGCCTCGCATAGTGCGCCGACCGCCGACCGGCCCCGGCGGCGCTGCCCCGGCCGCCCCCCCGCCCGCGCGGGCTCCGCTCATCTGCAGCCGCGGCGATCAACCTGCAGCGCTCGCTGACAGCGGGCGGGCCGCGCCGCGGATCCCTGGAAACGTAGTCCCGGGAAAACGGGCGCCCGGCCAGGCACCGGTGTTCCCCGGGGCCCGGGGCGGCTCCGCTGTCCCCCGCCGGGCAGGGAGGGCAGCGCGGGGCGGTGGTGAGGGGCGGGAGGGTCGGGGACCCCCAGGAGGTGTGTGTGGGAGAGGGGCTGCGCGGCACCCTGTCCCGCGAAACTTCATTGCACAACTCCGGGGTGTTTCTCTACAGGTTCTCAGCCCTCTCAGACATCCAGCCTGACGGTTCCAGAGACTGAGGTGACAGCCCGTTCTGTCCCCGTCCCATCCCACCGCACTCCCTCGCTGGCCAGAGGAGTTTGTCCGCAGAGAAAGGGAAAGGCACACACAGAGCACTGGGAACCACCAGTCAGCACCTCACCCCGGAGGGAGGCCCTCAAGTCTTTTCCATTCTCCATCTTCATCCTGTCCCGCTCTGACAGGTCGTCCAACAAATCCAGAACAACGACGGAGATTAGGGACACAGATTAGGGTGCCTTTACTTCAGGTGGTCACAAATCTTGCATCAAACAACCTGGCACCCTTGAGATCTGTCCTGAAACATTGGTTGTCTGAAAAACAGCTGTGGGCTTGTACCTTTTTCAGTTTCATCTTGAGATATCAAAAAGGTTTTGTAGGTTTTTTCGCTTCAAAAGTAGCCATTTTTTCATTTTAAATGTATCGGTAAATATTAATCTTCCCCGAAAGAATCTATGAGTTACTTTACTTAGCTAAGTTATGTCATTACTAAAATGATGATGACAACAGCAAGGTGATTGAGTATATGTGGGCAAATACAGGTAGGCTGTGAAAACATTGTCACGTTATTTTTGTTTATTAGCAGTGGCTATTGCAGCTAATAAGTGTTATTCTTGCAAAACAAACCTCCACGAGTTCAAATTAGGGTGCAAGAACATACAATGTGCAAGGGAATATGGTACATAAGCCTCAGGAATTTTGACATTCTTGAAATATCTGAAGTAATTAAACATTGGGTCTTCGTTATTTATTTTATGAAGGAAAACCAGAGCCTATAGGGAATGGCCTTAAAGCCTCAGACTTTTCTCAAGCCTTCTATTAACCAATTTTGCCCTGAAGACCTGACTCATTCTTCGTTCTCATAAGAACTTGAACTATTAGCCTTTGTGTTGTACACGAGTCAAGATAGAAGCTTCCTGGAGCAGCAGCCTTGTCATTCACATGTCTGCAAAGCAGGCATACTCACAATGCATTATAAGTGATAGCAGTTGAGAGGATATGCTGGTACTCCCAAGTGCAACACAGTTTCACACTGATCCCATATGCTGGTAGAAATGGGCTGATCTTCACATCCTTTCTGTCAAGAAAATAGGATGTTCCTAGATTTCACAGTTTTCAAATGTATGTAATATACACATACAGCCTTCACTACATAATAACTTCTGTAATTTTCGTGACATTTATATCAAACTTATGTATTCAAATAATCATTTATTTGACTGTGACAATATTTGGAGGTATGTTAGAGTAAATACCTGGCTAATGCATGTGAAGCACTGCTTTCTTGGTTAGAATGAATTGGAAGCCATAGAGGGAATAAATCAAAGCTCAGAGTTCAAGTGACATGGACATGGAGAGCTGGAGTCGCATCCCCATTAGTATGCTGAATTTCTGACTGGTAACTGCATTTCAGCTGTGGGCCCTGAGGACATCCCCAGTGAGTACAGTTTTACTAAACCCTTTAAACAGCCCTGTAGTTTTTAATTACAACTTGGTGCCTGTTGAAGAACAGCAAAATTATGGCTGTGACTAGATAGCAAATGGGGCATGACAGATGTTAAAAGATATAGTGTTTGATATTAAGTGTTACATGATAGCTAGTGAAACCTAATATTTAACATATCTAAAACCATCAGAAACGTACCAAATCTGGTCAAAACTAGACAAATTGTAATTTACTGTACATTGCTCATTAGAGAAAAGAGGCTGTGAATTGATTCAATTAATCTACGGTAAAGTACAGTCTGTTTTGAGAAGAGCTTTCAAAACATCAGTGAGAGTGAGCTAACTTTCTTAAAACACCCTGCTAAATTATAGAGTAGAAAAAGACCAGCTTTCTCTGCTCAGAAAGAGCTCTCTCTTGCTTTCTCTGCCTTGTTTTCTTGCTTCCCTTTTTACCTTGCTTCTCTCCAGACAGATTCTTCTAAACTTTCTCTTAAAAGCATAGCAAACTCCCTTTAAACAGACTTGGTTTGTCACAGCCAAAGTTAATTTGCTGTGTACTTTGCCCTAGGCCACCAGATGAAATAGGCAATACTGACCAGAGGCTCCTTAGCCGTTCCAATTATTTCTGAATAGGACTTCTCCCAGCTAACATCAGAGGAAAGTATATCCATCAACAGCATTGCTGAACAAGAGTTCTGAAGTCTAAACAAGATGTTAGACTTGTATACTTCGCTACACTCTCATCCATCATCATTTTTCTCTTTTTATTCCCCTTTCATCTTACAGAAATGCAGTAACAGTAACAGTAATTAAGCTTTAAGCAACCCCTTGTCCTCCTAAGTCCTTTCTGTAAAACAGTGAAATTCTCACTCATCTTCATCTGATGGTCTTGTTAGCAAAGTACTTCTGCCATATCATGTGACCCAAGATTTTAAAACATTATTAATTATTTTGGATGCCCAAACACATGTACAGGGACAGTTGAAGAAACATCTGAAAATCACAGACCTCAAGTCAGGCACCTCAAGTCAGTCTCTAGCAGTGAGCAGTAGCACAGCTGTGACTGAACATTTTTGGCTGTGGTTTGCTTAGCTGAGTGGGCCTAAACTGTGACGGTGGGATTAAAACCGTTCAGTTTGTCATCCAACTCAAGCGTGACAGAAACAGCCCTATCACAGGACCATACCACCTGCCTAATAACTCAGTATCTGGACTCTTAAGTTGCCTTGCATATTCCTGGGTAAGAATATGTGAAAATGGGTGTATATTTCAAAGGTAACTGATATACATTTAGATTGGGAAAAGATGTGAAAAGAGCATGCGTAGGACTGTACAGATTTGATACTGATGGGGAAGGTGAAGTGGGGCTTTCCACTTCAGTACCTCTGCCAGGACCGAGGGCTGAAAGAGGAAAAGGGAAGGGCTCTATGGTGATTCAGGCACACCCAGTACACACCCTAGGCCACAAGCTATTGTTTGGTAATGAAAGACAAGGAAGTTTCAGCAGAAACACTACAGTGTAGAAGATAGGTGGAAATACAGACGTGGAAGTGGTAAGAAGAGAATTCCTCTCCAGTTCCCCTCCCTTTGTCAGAGTCAGCCACACGGCTGGAAAAACAGCCTGAGGAATACTGGGTGTCAGATTTGGAGTGAGAGGAGGAAGGGGTGGAGTTTCTCAGCATTTTCTTTTTTCTCTAGGAAGTGGCATTTCCTAAGAAACCTGCTGAGTCTCATGCAAATACCTGAAAGACACAGGGAGAAAATGCTGCGTGCATTACTGCTTTTTTTTTTTTTTTTTTTTTAATAAAAAGGAGCACATTAACTCAACTAAGCATATACTGAGAAAAGGGGAGAAACACAGTTTCGGTATAAGTCCCATGCTCTGATCCCTGAAAATAGAATCTTATGCTACTGTGATCCAGCCTTACCACCACAAAATGAACCTAGGTATGGTATGTGTTAAACTGTAAACACTAGTATTCAGAAGCAGTTTTCTGGGGTCCGAGAATGACTTCAGATGAGCTATTAGGCAGGAAGGCTGTAGCCTGCTCAAAAATAGATAAACATGTTTAAAATATATGTAATATGTTTTTAAAGTGTCACTAAGGCACTGAAATTGAGGTTTAAATGGTGTAGTATCTAATTACATAATTAATTTTTTTTATAATATTGCTGAAATATACTTCAAGTATTGCTTCTCTCACATACTTACATTTCCCTATTGTCAAAAATATATTGCATGATAATTCATAATACTACAGAAAGTGCATTTGAGGGTCTGTAGAAGACTCAGAAATAATCACAAGATATATGCAAGGTGTATTTTATCATTACTGTGATAATTTCTGGTGTTTAATTTTTTTTTTTTTGGTATTTGATTTATTTTTTAAAGAAAAAAATAGATTCTTAAATAGCGGGCTCTTAATTTCAAGGAACAAATGGAATTTGAGTGTTAAAATACTCAGAAGATTTATAGAATTTATTATGCTTTATTTCATGTGATAGAAAACCAGGGAAGGGAAGTGAATGGATTAACATGATCCATACATGTCAGAGGCAGACAGCAGTATATACAAATGTCACTCCTGTTGTGTGAGGTTAATTCCACTATCCAGTAACACCTATGTCTTACGCACAGAGAACATTATTGACTTTTGCCATCTTTGAATGATTTGATGAGTTATTTCATTCATTGCTTTGTGGTAAACTATAGAGAATTTTTATGCAAATGTGGAAACATGCCACACATTTTCCTCCCAAAGAAAGTTTGTGGCAACTTGCCCAGCAGTACAGTCCAAATCAGCAGTGCGGCTGCAGGCAGAGACCACAGCTGTGGCTGCCTCGGATGACAGCTTTTTGAGTCAGACTTTTCCAGTTGTATATGGAGGGAGGTTGGGAGAAACCAGGCATAGACTGAAAAAAAGAGAGCTTCAGGCTGCGTATAAGGAAAACCATTTTCGTCCAGTGGAAAGTCATGGATCGGAGCTCAGAGAAGTGTTGCAGCCACCATCCTTGGTGATTTCCAAGCTCCCACTGGACGTAGCTCTAAGCAACCTGCTCTGATCTTGCACCTCACCCTGCTTGGAGCAGGAGGTTGGGCTACAGACCTCCTGAGGTCCCTTCCACCCTAAATCATCCTGTGGTCTTATGAACACCTTTAGCTACCCTGGACCAGTACTACTGTCTAAAGCAGTGGATTACCTTCCTGCTGACTACCACTATCATTAATCTCTAACAGCCTTCCTTTCTACTGAAACAGTTACAC